CTCCACGTGCTTCTGCAGACCCCTCTCAGAGCAGGAGGAGGGCGCTGGAGGGCCCTGGGGACCCGGGTGTTGCTAGGGAGGAGGCGGCCCTGTGGGTTCGTCTCAGGCACACACTCATTAACCACTTGGCTCTGGAAACGTCGATGCCCAGAGGGCGTTTCCTTCTTTTCCCAGTAGTACTAAACTGCCTTCTCACAAAAGTCCCATGGTGTGTGGGGTCCTTGGGATGAGGAGTGTTCTTGCTGCTTTCAGTGCTATAGGATCCCATTTTACAGATTCTTCCCTCTTTCTGTGGTTGGGGGAAAAGACAAAAATAGAAAGGCCAGGGTATTTCCAGTACTGTGCAGCCCCTGACGGGGTCCTGCATGAGACCGGGAGGCGGAGGGCAGTGTGTTCGAGGTTGCAAGTCCCCATGGGCACCCAGGGCTGTTCTAACATTCCAACCCTCATGTTTTTAATTCTGGCCCCTGAGGGATTTGCTCATTTTACATACTGATTAGTTTATAGCAGCAATGCTAATTTGTACTGACATTAGGGATTACACACCGAGAATTATTAAATATAAAGGGAACAGCAAACAGCATGGCAGAAGGAAGAGGGAGCATGACTCAGAGGACTGAGCGACAGAAACCTGTCCCCTGCGTCATTACTCAGCCGCGGTGTGTCCTGGGGCCACCACTCAGCCATCTGTGGATGGCTTTCTACACCCCGAGTCACAGTGTACGAGACGAGACGGAGAGAAGAGTTTTGGTTAATCACTAGGGCTTTTCTTATGGATTAAGTAATGAATGTGATTAACAATAATATGGAGAATTCCCAGTTCCCCACCTGTAGCTCCTCTGTAGCTAATTTCCAATTCTATGTTGATTTCCTTCAATGACTCCCAACCCGACCCAGATGGTGTCTATTTAGGAAATTCAGGAAACTCTTAATATTTGCATAAGCAAAGCAAATGGGGAAATAAATTAGTGTAAAGAAATGATCCAATGCAACAGAAAGCTGAATTTAAACGACTTCCGGATTTTCTAGGCCACGGACTCATTTAATCATTCAACAAATATGGGCTAAGCCCCTACTCAGTGCGGAGTTCAGTCTCTCCCTTCCCAAGGCTCTCAGTCTGGAGAGAGTGTCTGTGTGACAGGCCGAGGCTCTGGAGCCCAGAGGGGGAAGGACATTCCCTTCCGACCGACGGCCATAGCTGATGCTAGTTTTGTTCCAGACGCTTCCTCTTCTGATACGTGTGAACATCCCCAGAGACATTTCCTCTTTAGTCATCATTACCCTGGGTAGGATGTCGTGTCTACTGGACATGCACACAGAGCTCACGTTCCTGATGCAAACTTGGACACACGAGGGGTGACAAACAGCGAGCCCCTGGAGGTCAGATGGTCCCTCATACTGGGTGGGGGGCCACACAGTAGGTGCGCCGTGCTCATTTGTCAAATAAACTGGTAATGACCCCCCACCCCCATCAGCCACACCGGAAAGGCATCAGCATCCTTCCTCATTTTAAAAACGAGGAAGGTAAGTTCAGAGAGCATTATTAAGTCCAAGGACACGTAGCTAGAGAAAGGCAGGGCTGGGGCCCAAACCACGGTCACCTCCCTCCCCGCGCTGACCCCTCCCTGTCATTCCCTGATGGCTGTGCTCCATAGGGAGCAAGGGGCTTTAATCCGTGGCTATGGGAGGCACGGAACTAGAAGCCAGGAGGAAACAGAAGTTTATAATCTTGCTGAGAGCCCAAATGGCGTAGGGTGTCCAGGAAAGGGCGGGGAAGGGAGGATCAGCGGGACACATCTCTGATGTCTCAGCTGTGCTGCTGGTTCTCTGGGTGACCGAGAGCAAGTCCCTGAATCTCCCGGCCACTGCTTCCTCAGTGACAAAACTGTCATAATAATATGGGCCTCTTAGGTCTGCCATGAGAAGCGCGTCTGGTGCACAGAAACTTCTCCATTCATCCTAGTTTATTATCATCAGTTTAAGCATTTTTATTACAACTCCTACTGGGATTTGCCGTTACGCACACGAATCAGAGAGTCACAGGTCTTAGAATAAATGTCTAAATTGCATGGTCTGTTACAATAAGTAAGTGGTTTTTGAGATTATTCAGAGAATCCGAATCTGTGTCAGGCCCAGGAACACAAGCGAGCCTCCCTTTTCTGAAGGGGCTGCTTTCCAGCTAAGAAGAGCTGAGGGGACATAGTTGCTACCGTTGTTTCTAAAACTAGTAGGGCCGCTTCCCTGCCGTGCTTGGTTGGCTCGCTCGGTTGTAAATGCCACGTTAAGATTTAGGAAGTGGGAGACTCACTCCCACCTTGGGACTCTGGTAATTGCTTTGGGCCTCGGGTTGAGCGTTTGTCCTTTGCCTTGTATTTTCCTTGTGGTGTATTTGGCTCCACCCTGCTCTGCACAGGAACCGAGCCTTGTTTACTGCTGGGTCCCTAGCAGTGGGCACCATCGACGGCGCATCGTAGGTGGGCGTAATAGTGTTTTCTTTTTCTAAATGAATCAGTGAAATGGGATACAAGTGAAAGGAGATAAACAGAGCACAAACACATGTTAAGATCAGTTACTCATCTCCTCCCTTCCTTCCTCCCTCCCTTCCTTCCTTCCTTCTTCCAGAATCCTGAATATAGACACACAACGTTCTGTTACTTTCAGGTGTACAACTCCGAGATTTGACAAGTTTGTACGTTAGGCTGTGTTCACTGCAGTGTAGTTCCCGTCTGTCCTGTCAGGTGGCTGGTACGATATCCTCGACCGAGTTCTTTATGCTGCGTTTTTTAATTCTGTGACTTACTTATTCCATAACCGGGGGCCTGTTCCTCCTTCTCTCCTTTGTCCATTTTGCCCAACACCCCACCCCTCCCCTCTGGAAATCATCAGTTCATTCTTTGTATTTTTAAGTCCTATGCTGCTTTTGGTTTATTCATTCACTGGGTGTTTACCCAGAGAAAACGAGAATACTAACTCGGAAAGATATATGTACCCCCGTGTTTATTGTGGCATTATTTACAATAGCCAAGCAACCTAAGTGTCCATAAATAGACAAATGGATAAGAAAATGTGGTACGCATGAGCGCGCGCACACACACACACACACACACGCACGCAACACACACACACACACAGGGGAGCCTGTAACACACACACACACACACATTAGGCAGCCGTAAAAAAGAATGACATTGTGCCATTTGGGACGGTAGATGGACATGGAGGGTATTATGCTAAATGAAATAGACTGAGAAAGACAAATACTGTACAATTCCACTCATAAATGGAAATTAAAAAAATGAGTTGCCCATTTTCTTTTCTGAGAAACGTGGAGGGAGTGAGACCCTGTGTGAATGTACAAATAAGGACATGCAGCTTCACTCTCCGGTCTGATGAGCCCCGACGTCCGTGCACGCGGCAGCCCAGTTCCAGCTGTCTGCGAGGAGATCCCGGTGGCGGGGGAGGGGACAGGCCAGAAGCTACAGACATCTGCTGTGCCGTGGATCAGTAACATATGATACGTGATTTGTTTCAAACGCAGACATGCCTGTTTTATCCAAGGGCTACAGTAGTTCGGCTATGTGAAATTATTTAAGTGAATAGTATAGCTACCTAGTGTAGGTGGCAGAAAGCATTTCCATTATAACATTAGAAATAATATATGTTCACTAAGAAGACTTAGAAAATCAGAGATTCACCGAAAGGAGTAATTCTACCACCCAGAGGGAAGAGCTGGTAACATTTTGATCCATCGAAATTTTTTATACACATTTTTTTTAACAATAGTTGTTTCAGAGTATACCTATTATTGTCATAGCTGGTTGAAAAAATAGCAATAGAGATTACTTAGCAATGGAGAATAACAATAGAGATCAGTGGCTACATCTTTGGTGACCTGATTTTAGTGGCTGCATAGCCTTCCTCTGTGTGGCTGTGCCATGGTTTACAGCTCTGGTCCTCATTTGGGACCACGATTGTGTGTTTTCAGTTTGGGGCTACTAAAAAAACCTGTGGTATTTTTGTAGCTAACCTCTGTGCCCATCTTTAAGGACAAATTTGCCATCCTTTAAGGGTAAATGTCTACAAGACCCCTGCAAAGCCTCGAGCCTGGGCTGCATTTCCCCAGTATTGCTTTGGCCAAACGTGCCGACTCCTGCAAGAATAAGCCACAGACAGATCTTCAGTGGGTTTTGACAGTCTTTTAGCAAACGCTTTCTGAGAAGGTGTGACCCAAGCATTTGTGAATCAGTCATGACCTCTTTTTAATCTCCACAGCCAAGATCAGCCTCTGGCATTTGGTTGTGTCTGGATGATCAAGGCAGCGCTGTCCAGTAAAATACAGTGCAAACCACAGACGTGATTTCAAATTATCCAGTAGCCGCACTAAATAGAAGGAAGAAAAAACAGGTGAAATTAATTTTACGAGTCTGCTTAATGCAACCCAATACATCGAAAATATTGTCATTTCAACATGTAACGGACATAAAAAATACTGAGATATTTTATGCTCTTTGTTTTCATACGAAGTCTTTAAAATCTGGTGTGTATCTTGCACTTTCAGCACATCTAGAGCACATGTGGCTACGGGCCACGGGGCTGGACAGCGCAGGCCTAAAAACAGCAGTCTGGCTCTGCGGAAAGGCAAAAGCCCCAACAGATCTTAATTAAAACAGAAACGTGAGTTAGAGACCTCATCTGTGCGGCCCGCCTGAGGATGAGAACAGCCTGGTGGCCACTTTGTGAAATTTCTTTCTCTTAACATTTTTAAAAAAGATTTTATTTCTTTATTTAGGAGAGAGAGAGAGAGAGAGAGCCAAGCAGGAGTGGGGTGGGGAGGGGGAGAGGCAGAGGGAGAAGCAGAGTCCCTGCTGAGCAGGGAGCTCGACCTGGGGCTCGAGCCCGGGACTCCGCAGTCCACCCAGGCACCCTTCTCTTAACATTTTCGTAGCTCTGAGGATTTCAGTTTCTCCACATCTATACCCATATGCACGTTTTACTTTAAGGGCCTGCGGTGAGGACCCCCACGCCCCACCCAGGGGGGAGCCGAAGCTGTTGGAACCCAGCGCTCAGGACAGCCTGCGTGTGTCCATCACCAGACGAGACTGGCTTCTTCAGGAGAAGCAGCAGTTGCAGGTAAGCGGGTGAAGAACCTTCAGGAACTAGGCCAGCGTTTTTCTTACCCATGGAAGCCAGATGCAGCAGGGGAGGGGTCTTTGCTCGGCTCGAGTGTAGCAATTAGAGCTTTGGCCGTCCACCCGTGAAGTACAAAAGGGGAGCTGGGTGGAGGTGGCCGGAGGGCTTGTAGGAATCTCATTACACACAGGGGTTGAAAGCTTGTTGCTGTTTGTGCCTGTTTTCGATATTCCTCATTACCTTTCGAATATGCTTTCCTTGTCTGCCAGGCCAATTTGTCACCTCTTATCATTTTGACCTTTTACGAGGTTCTTTGGAAAGGCAGGAAGAAATCTGTGCTGTGAAAAACCTTAATGGAAGATTGCATCGACTTGAAGCGTAAGGAGCAGTTGTTAGGGGCAGAGTTGTAAGTGTGGACTGGGCAAGGCTCGCGGGTCTGGGAAAAACTGGTAGGCATCTCCCGAGGGCTCCAGGTTGGCCCAGAGCAGCGGGTGAAAGTTGGTGGGAACCGGTCAGGGGCTAGAAGTCCAGGTGCAGCACCGAGTTAAAGGCAGGAGGCCATCGGGTGCTCTGGAAGTTGAGGGGGGCCCCTCCCCCAGAGGCAGGGATCCTTGAAGCTGGGTCCACACCAGCTGGAGCCTGGAGGCTTGGGAGCAGGAATGGGGAACAACAAGGGAGCATCGGTTGAAGGCATCGTGATTTCCGGAAAGATAATAGGTCTTTAACACCCAAGTGAAAATCTTGGTTTAGATTCTAAACAATGGAATGCATTTAGACTGGTTTGTGGGGCTTGGACGAATTGCTAGGCTGCCCTCCCATCCTTACTTCCTTGTGCAGAATATTTTATTATCTGAGTTTGCCCACCCAAGTCCCCACAATAGCAAGGTGGCAAAGGGAGGCAAAAGTCATCACAATTGGAAACTATTCTCCAGTAAACCGAACTTTTATATATTCAGTGAGTATCATCATAAAAGTTTGTGATGTGATATATGGCTTTTGGGGGTGAATGGTTAAGAAAGAATTCTTGAGGTGTTTGCAATACAAAAAGATGGTTTTATTTAAGCACAGGGACAGGATCTGTGGGCAGAAGGAGGTGCACTGGGTTTGAAGAGGGACTGATTATGTACTTTCAAGTTGGAGGGGTTAGGGATAGTGTAAGTCTCTAAGGAACTGGGAAGCAAGGTTTCCAGGACCTTGAGAGGTCATTTACTACTATCTACTAAACTCTTAGTCAGGAGACCCTTCAGAGGTGTATCAGCGGACCATATGTTTCAAAGATGATTGTTAACATACATCTTGGGGGGCGGTGTAGGTAGAGAGATCAAGAAAGTTTCCACAGGGATTTTTCTCGGTTAAAGACTTGCAGGATCCTGGAAGTTGGGCTAATGTCAAGCTAAGGTTGCCTTTTTGCCTCCAGCAAAGTATTCACACTGACGAAGTTGAGTTCCTGGGGGAAGGTCACCCTGCCTGTCTCAAGTACTTGTCAGTGGGCTGCAAAGGAAATTGGATTATTTTTTTTACATTTCTTTTGCTTTTGTTCTCCACATCAGTTTGGGTCGCTGAAAATGGGAAGTCTGGTTTTAGTTTTGAACGATATTTGCCAGTTAAAGGTCTGCATCATTCCTGATGATGTCAGAGTGGACAGAAAGTAAGTGCAGCCTGGGATCTTTCGTGTTTGAGGGGGATGTTCTTGGCAGAACTCCGGGGGAAGGTGGCTCTTCATTATTCAGCAGGTGTTTGAATGCCTCTCCTGTGCCAGATACTGTTTAAAAGGCTGAAGATTTCTGTGAAGTTGATGTTCTAGTAGGGGTGGGCATGGGGAGCTAGATGAGAAATGACAAACATAATTAATACCTAAATTATCGCCTTCCTATGTTGTAGGGTGGTAGGAGCCATAAGGCATAGGCTTGGATCAACTCCTTGTGCAGCGAGATGGAAGCTGAGGGAAGAGCCACGTGAAGGCCTACAGTGGGGATGTGCCTCACGCATTTGGAGGGCATCCAGCAGGCCAGGGTGGGGGAGAATAGTAGAGGAGAAGGTCAGGGAGAAGAGGGGTCTTGGAGGGCCTTGCACACGTTAGTAAGCACTCGGGCTTCTCTGTGACTGGGCTGTGGAGCCATGTTAAGCAGTGAAGTAGCATGATCTGACCACATATTAAAGACTCACTTTGACTTCTGTGTTAAGAATAGGATATAGGGCCCCTGTGGAAGAGAAAAGCACGGTGGGTCTTCACAACATTAAAAATAGAATGACCATGCCATCAAGCAATTCCACTTCTGGGTATACGCCTACAGGAACTGAGATCAAGCCCTCAGAGAGAGGTGTCCCAAACAGCATTATTCACAAAAGCCAAAAGATGGAAGCAACCCATGTGCCCATCTGTAGATGAATGGATGAACCAAATGTGGTCCATTCACACAATGGTGTATTATACCGACTTGAGAAGGAAGGCAGTTGTGACACATGGTGCAACGTGGATGAACCTTGAGGATGCCATGATGAGTGAAATAAGCCAGTCACAGAAGGGCAAATACTATGATTCCGTTGACATGAGGTTCCTAGAGACTCCTAGAGAGAGAAAGTGGAATGGCAGTTGCCAGGGCTTGGCGGAAGGAGGGGCCACGAGGAGCTGGAGTTTCAGGGGGACAGAGGTTTGGTTTATAAGACGGAGAGGTCTTGGACGGTTGGTGGTGGTGGTGGTTGTGTGGCAGGGTGGGTGTGCTTAATGCCATGGAACCGGCCTTACGAATGGTTAAGATGGTGAATTTTGTGGTATGCGTATTTACCACAGTTATAAAGAAAGAAAGGAGAGAATGGGGTGTGGGCAGAGGTGGAGGTGGGGAAATAGTGTCAATGATATTGTAATGTTGGACAGATGGGAGACCTATTGTTTTCTTCTCGGAGTGTCTCAGGGCTGGATCTTCACCCTCTCCTCAGTCTCTATCCCCCACCCCCTATGGAAGCAGGGTCAGGAGGTAGAAGTTGGAGGTGATCTGTACCTTGGGTTTGAGAGCCCATAGATAAGAGATGGGGAGACACCCGGGATTGAGCTCTGCTCTTGTCAGCCAGAAACCAATGCACGGGACTCGGGAGTGTGGGGATTGAGAGTCTCATTTTAAATTCGGAATGCTACGGGCAGTGAGATGATCATCTGCTCCAACACCGCGCACACAACGGGTATTCACTAACCTGCTGCTTGTTTTATTCTCTGGCCTCAAGACTGGATGATACTCTATAGATTCTTTAGATTTTGGTTTGCTGGATTAGTGGAAATGGAATTTATTTAATATTTTTTTATGAGCTGTAGACGGCACGACACTGTCTACTGCATCCCATTGCTCTTTCCATCTGTAGACTTAGGAAACTGTGATGTTCGTCTTTCTCTACACACTGCATTTTCACGTTTGGGGACAGACCAACCGAGGATTGTTTGCTTTTCTTTGTCGGCTCATGACCTGCGTTCCCTGCTTGGCTTATACCCCAAGCATGGGGTGTTTTCTCCCTATGTTCCAGGTCTTCTGCCTGCAAACGAAGTAAGTCATTTACGTATTTGCTTAGTTCTTCCAAGTCAGATCCCTGGCTCACCCCCCGTAGTTATTATTTAGTACTTGGGAGGGAACGTTTTTCCTTATGCCAGCTCATCAGAAATACAAAGCTGGCGTGGTTTTTCCACTCCAGCAAACCTCCAAAAATCTGCTGCCTCCGAAGGGAACTTCATGGCGCTCGTGCACGTGGCTGGCTCTCACTGAAAGGGCTCGTTACCGGCAGAGTGGTCTGCTACGAGGAGGGTTCCTTTATGTAACCTGGTTTCTCCGTTCTCTGCAGAAAGAGATCGAAGCTCTCCAAGCACGAATGTCCATGCTGGAAGCAAAAGACCAGCAGCTGAGAAGGGACATAGAAGAGCAGGAGCTCCTTCTCCGATGGGAGGACTGCGACCTGCCCGCCCTGGTGTGCGGGCTGTCCCCGGGTGAGCTGCGGGAAGTCAGCGAGGCCTTGCGGGACACGCTGGCCTTAGCCAGCCAGATTCCCCTCCGTGCAGAACCGCCTGAAACTCTCACGAGGTATTGATTTCCTAACTGAATTGGGATCGCTCACCTCTTTGACCAGTTCACGGGACTGATGTTATTGGCTGTCCCTCGGCCACAAATATTTTCCCAGCAGGGCTCTGGTGTCTCAATGGAAGTGCCATCGTTATTTTGAGCCGGAAAGTTCGTCCTTGGGTGGGCAGTCCTGAGTGTTGGGAGATATATTATATCCTGGCCACCCAGCCTACCCAGTGCCAGTACGCCTCTCCATTCTACTATGCACCCCCCCCCATTTCCAGTTCCCCCCCAGGGGCACCTTCTCTCCCTTCGAGATCTGTTGCAGCTCCATTGGCTAGAGTTTCTGACACCAGCCTTGCTGAGGACCACCATCTGGGGACAGGGGAACCACCCCTTACTGATGGAGGGGCTGAGCCATCGAGGGGGTACTCAGTCACTCACCGTGTGTCCCTCAGGAAGAATGAACAATTAAGAAGAATAGCAAGCATGTTTTGAGTGCTTACTCTTTGCCAGGCACTGCGCTAAGCCTTATGAGTTGCTTCTCTTATATTTATTTTATAGATGAGGAAAAGAAAGTTCAAGAAGGTTCGTAATTTGCCCACCGTCTTAATAAGAGGCAAAATTGATACTTAAATGCCCATTCGTTACTTCTCAGCCTAGTTTCTTACCTACTTACTGTGGAGCGAGAAGCTTCCCGATGCTCTGTGTTGTGGACTAGCCACAGGATACACTTCTGTGTCTTGCTCTCCGGGAGATCATGGTCCTGTTTTGGTGAAAGACAGAACACGTGTGTGCACGTCAGCTAAAAAGCTGTGGAGTGACAGAATGAACACGCAGACAGGTCGTAGGGACTGCGGGAGGGATTCATGTTCTGCTCATTATGTGCCAAAGACAATACTTCACAACACTTCCCACCTGCAGTGGTTGCAGACGTGGGCTCTGCTGCCTGATTTGCTCAGGGGCGAGTCCTCACTCCACCACAGAACAGCTGGGAACCACTTATTATGTGGGGGAGGGAATGATGCTAATAGGGCTGTTTCGTGGACCAGTGGTTAATGTGTGTGTGTGTGTGTGTGTGTGTGTGTGTGTGTGTGTG